ACGCAGTTGGCCCAGGCGCTGGAGGCGGTCAAGGGCAGGATCGGCGATAGCGGCGCCTGCGTCACCACGCAGGTGAAGTCGCGGCAGCGGAAGCAGCCACGGCAGCAGCAGACGCAGCAGCAGCTAAGCAGGCGGCAACGCGTGCAGGAGCCGCCCAAGCAGCAGAGGAGGCAGCAAGAGCCGTCGGTGGTGCACAAGGGGAGGCAACCGACATCCCTACAGGCGTATGGACCTGGATCTGGATGATGATACTGGGGGCTATTCGACCTTTGTGCAGGAGCCGTGTCCGATCCAGACCAGCTTCGCGAGGCTAGGAAGCAGAGGCGCGAGGAGCTCGAGACCGCAGGCTACAAGCGGAGGAAGGTCGCCGCACCTCCCACCCCACCCGCAGAGGCGCAGGGAGGTGCCCCTGGGGCAGGCTGGACAATAGCGAAACGCGTCAACATGGGCAAGAGAAGGTCCCAGACGCACTCCAGCTTTGGGGTCGTGAGCGCGAACGGCTCGGGCGGGGGACCGCTCGCGGCGCTGTGGGCGGCGGAGCCTAGCAAGACAACGCAGACGGCGAGCTGCTTGTGCGTGCAGAAGACGCAGCTGTCCGGGAAGAGGCCGAAGGCGGAGGAGCAGTGGTGTAGGCAGCACGGCATCGCAGCGGCGCTGGCGGCAGGCACGGCTCGCGAGGGCTCCAGCGAGGGGCCTCGAGGGGGCACGGGCGTCTTGGTCCGTGCCTCCAGGGCATGGCGGAGCCAGCTGACCCTGGCTCCAGGCAAGTGGGCGCCGAGGGCAGGTGCGCGGCGGGTGCCAGGTTCACTGTACCTCGCCCAAACAGTCGGAGGGACTACTAGCGGGTGGCCAGGAGCGGCGCTCGACCCGGTTCTGGTCCAATGGAGAGCGAAGTTGGACATGGTGCAGGAGGTGCCGCAAAACATCATCACCGTGTGGATCTCGGAGGCCCGCGAGGAGGCGGAGGCCCTCAACTCCAGGTTCGCCTACAAGCGCCGCCGGGACCTCTGCGAGTGGATTCGATCCTCGCTGGCGGTCGGAGGCAAGCAGGCCCACTCCGTCAGGCACGGGCCCAGAGGCTGGGTGCCCGAGAAGCTGGGGGCCCTAGGGAGCCCTAGCGGAGGCCAGAAGGGGGTGGACGCAGTGGCGGCGTGCTGGGCGGGCGAGGTCTGGACGCAGAAGACGGGGATGGATTCCGAAGGCCGGGGCCCAAATTGGGGCAGAGCCCCTGGGACGGCCAGAGCGCGGCCGCCGATGGGGCGTCCCTTGAGGAGGCCCACGGTCAAGGAGGCAAGGAAGGCGGCCAAGGCGTTTGGCTCCTCAGTGGGCGGGGCGCGGACCATTTCAACTCGAGGCAGCTGGAGCACATATCAGACGACCTGATGGAAATGCTCATCGCGTTCGGCATGCCGACGAAGGTGGTGGGCACGCTGCCCGAGGAAACCATCTGCTGCATGATCGTCATGCTGGCAAAGGAGAGCGGAGGCTGGAGGCTCATCGGCCTCTTGCAAAGGTTCCCCAGATGGTGGGCGCGCATGCGGAGAACCGAAGCGGGGAGGTGACGCCGCCAACTTCTGGGGGGGGTCAGGGGCGAGCCGCCGCTGAAGCGGTGTGGTGGCAGGCACTGCACAACTAGGCGAGCAGATCGCAGCGCCTCGACGTGCTCCTCGACCTTTGGAAGGCTTACGTGGAAGCACTCGCCATAGCGCAGCAGAGGGCGCTGGACATGGGCTACCCCGAGCAGCTGATCCAGGCTGCCCTGTGCATGCACGGTGGACACAGGTACATCATGATCGATGGGGCCGTCAGCTCGAAAGCCAAACGGCTTGCGAGTGGGCTCGTCGCTGGGTGCAGCCACGCGGGTCGGACCCCCAGATGCGATACGATGGTGCTTGAGGCGTAACACAGGCGCTGCTGGCAGGAGGTGAGCGTGGCCATCATGTTTGACGACTGCTCACTTCGCATGGCGGGTAACTTCTGGGAGGCGGCGCATTATGTGGCGGGCGCCGCCGGAGGCTTCATCTTGGGCCTGGAGAGCGACATGGGTTGCATCGTTTCACGGGTCAAGTCGGAGGTCCTGGCGTCCTCGGACAGGTTGCGGGAAGACCTGGTCAAGATCATCAACCTGGGACAGCTCATGCAGTCAGACAAGGCGCGCAACCAAGGGGTGAACTACGGCGCCAAGGCGGTGGCGTCAGCGGTTGCAGAGAAAAGGCAGGTCAAATCGGTGGACCCCCCCGCATCGGCCAGGCAACAGGAGCGCACATACCCAGCGCGCAGAAATTTGTGCAGAGTGGGTCGCTGCCTGCAACGGGTTCCGGCCGCGAGGCCATGGCGTGGGCTGCAGCGGGGGAGGAGCCAGGTAGCTTCCACGATCTTCGGCAGGGCGCCAGGACCCAGCGTGGCGCTCAACTTCCTGGTATTAGCCACGGTGCGTGACGACCTGCTGCTCCAGCACGCCTTCGGGCTTCTGGAGTCGTGGGCCAAAAGGGTACAGCTGGCCGTGGAGCGAAATGGCCGCAGGGCTCTCTTGAGCGCGCTCATGGGCGCAAAGGGAGGTGCACCTGACCAAAGGGTCCAAGGGCCTGGCCGGAGCGGGGCCAACCTGCGCGGTCCTGGTCGCATGTCAGCGCCGGATGGCACATGGAGACGGTCAGGATAGTCAAGGACGACCTGGGCAGGGAGCTGGACCTCGTGGCGAGCGGGGCACCACACGCTGCAAGAGGAGCGCCCAGAATCGAATCGAGAAGCCGGATCGGCCATCGAGATGAATCGGATCGGCGGAGTTCGGCAGCCGAGTCGGGAAAAGTCGAATCAGCGGAAATCGGACTCCAATGAGAAATCGGAACCCAAATCGGAATCCCAAGTCGAATCGAATCGGAAGCCATCGAAATCGAATCGAGTCGAATTGGAGGAATCGAAATGAGCCCTGAACAGGGCGTCGTGAGGGCGCTGTGGCGTGACGCGGTCGACCACCATGAGGAGCTGGAGCTGGTGAGACACGGCGGTGCCGCGGATGGCTTCAGGAAGAGGTTCCTGTCGGCGAAGGCGCCCGCGAGAGTGGCAGCTCGCAGCTCGTCGGCGCGCGACGCCCTGGTGGCGTGCCCGTGGCCGGCGGCACGCCGAGCCAGGGCGTGCCCGACCGAAGGCCTCCTCGGCCAGAGGCCCGGGGGGCCGCGAGAAGGAAGGCACAAAGAAAGCACGTGGCGCGGAAGTGCCCCGCCCTCGACGGGGACGCACACGGACATGTTGGCACCGTGTGTGTCCTCCCTGGGGGGCGCGCGCCCGAGCCGAGCACATACAGTATGACCCGCTCGTAGTACAGATCGTTTCCCGAGCGGTACGGCCAGAACGCGCCCGCCACGGAGCTCATACTACAAGATCTCTCAGCGCGCGCCGCCCCTTTGGGGGGGGGGTGCGACGCGCACGCAGTATCAGTATGTTGGGATCGACGCCGATCGACAGCCAGAGGATACTGCAGCACGGCGAGTCTCCCGCCTTCGCCGTGCTGCCACAAGCTGAGGCGGCGAACCCAGCAGGCAGCGCTGATCACCCCACTTGGTCGAGGGAGCTCGTGGCGGGCACCGCTGCCCTTCCGCACCATCCTGAGAAGGACGGGCAACAGCCCAGGCGGCTGCATGGTGCGGGAGGTCTTTTTGTTGTCGGCTCGGCAACCCGCACTAGGGACCCCCAGCTAGCCGGGGCTGGCTGGGCCGCCGTGTCGACGTGGGCGGACGACGCCGCGCGCACAGCCCTGTGGGGGAACGTGCCCTGGCCACTCCTTCATGACAGTGGGGCGGGGGAGTTGCAGGCAGCGGCCATCGCCCTCGAGAACTGCCTGGGGCCCATCACCCCGTACACCGAGTCGTCCATGGTCCACGACCGTTGGCAAACAGGTAAACGCTTGTGTACCGAGTGGAGGCGAGCAAACAGCAGCTAGTGGACCACGGCGAGCAGAACGTCATCGTGGTCAAGATCAAGGCCTACTGCACGGAATACGACGTCCACGAGGAGCGCATCTCGGACAGGCAACGCGCGGGCACTGCCACGACGGACCTGCGTGCCAAGCAAGGAGCCCGCATCCACGGCATTCTGCAGCAGGAGGGGGGCTGGACCGCATCCAGTAGGCGGAGGACCTCGCGAAGGAGGCGGCTGCGTGGATAGGAGAGGCCATGCAGTGAGGCTGCGCCCTCTGAGGGCTGCGGACGGCCCCGCGGCGCCAGGCCTGGAGGCGATCAGATGCGCCTGGCCAGGGTGCAGGAGACAATCGCAGGCCGAGCGTGAGGTAAACGGCGTGGCATGCCCGAGCAGAGCGTGCGACGTCTGCGGCACGACCATGGTCACGGAGTTGGGTGCGAAGTGGAGCTGCAAAAGCTGCGCGTGCACTGGATTGCCGCGCAGCTTCAGCAGCTCCACGGATGCCGTGCAACGGCAGCTGAAGAGCATGGAAGATGCGGCGAGCCTGCTCAAACCAGTGGTGGAGATGGGGTCGGCAGGGCGAGTGGACGCGACAGCAGCTACTATGGCGGCGGCGGTCGGCGTAGCGGTCTCGCCCCTGCCGGAGAACCAGTCGCGCGTGGCGGATGACCCGGAACACATGTGGACGAGGAACACCAGGGGCGGCAACGCTCGGGGCGCCCGAGGTAGAGGGGGCCGCAACCTGGTGGCCTTGGGGGTCATGGCAGAGGACGAGCACGCGGGCGAGGGCGTGGAAGGAAGGCCGAAGCGCAGGAGGGGGCAGAACCCGCCCGTCCCGCGTGCTCTGCTCGGCGAGGCAGAGGGTCTTCTGCACGAGGAGTGGGCACCACGCGGCGCCAGCGAGGGTCAGGCACCCCACGGGGTCTTGCCCCTGCAGGGCCGTCGACTGACAGAGAGACGCCCTCCGCCGCCTGCAGATGAAGGGGAACTGGGACACACAAATTCGCCGGCCCAACGGGCCAGGGCGTGCTAAGATCTCCGGTACCTGGTTAACAGTATTTCTAGTTCGCGCGCGCGGGGCGGCCCCTGGGGGTCCCCAGACGAAAAGTACCCCGGCATGGTCCCGGCAAGTCCCCGGCAAGGTCCCCACAAGGTCGGGTCAGAGATGCCGGAGTTCTGTTTCGGAGTCCAAGAGGGCTCCAGATCGGTCCAAGAGGGCCCCGAGAAGCTTTCTAGACGGTCCAAGAGAGGCCCGAGACGGCCAAAGATCGCCCGAAGACGCCCCAGATGGCCCCAAGACAGCCCAAGAGGCCTCCAAGACGCTCCAAGGGCCTTCCAAGAGGCCTCCGAAGAGGGCCCCAAGTTGCCAACATCGTTTATTTTCATTGGTTTTTTCGATGTTTTTTTGCGTTCTGGCCTTTTCGCTTCCGGACGCTCCAAGAGGGCCCAAGAGACCTTCAAGACTGCTCCAAGACGGCCCACGAGGCTCCCAAGACGGCCCTGGAGCGGCCCAAGAGCGCCCCCCAGACGGCCCAAGTGCTGCCCAAGGCGGACCAAGAGGCCCCAAGACGGGCCCAAGACGGGCTCAAGAAGGGAACCGAGAACTGAAAAATCGAGCCCTCCGCCCCAGAAGGCGCCCAAGACCCCGAAAGAGGCCCCAAGAGACTCTCCAAGACACCCCCAAGACGCCCCAATAAGCTCCCGTGAGGCCCCAAGAGGACCAACAACGTCAGGCCCCAGGCCCCAAGATGACCAACAAATACCGCCAAGAGCCCGCCGAAAGCCCCCCAAGAGACCGTCACGAGAGCTCAGGAGGCCCCCTGGAGGCCTCCCGAGTTCTCCAAGAGGCCTAAAAAGAGGCGCCAAGAGGCCCCAAACGGCCCCACCGAGGCTCCAAGAGGCCACGAACGCGCAAGCAAACGCCTGCGATGGCACAATACGGGCCGGCGGAATGAGCGAAGCGATTAAATCAATAGACACAAACAACCGGATTCACCATATTTTCCTATATTGTCTGGGTTTTCGTCTTCCCGCTTCTTCCCATATTTTTCCATACTTTCCTGGGGATCGACGATTGATTGTGTCTGTGTGTTTTTTCCCCTCCTGCGCAGAGAGGCCCGCACCCGTCGCAGTCGGGGCGGCGGGGCGAGCTGGTGGCAGCGGCGAGGAGGCGCAGCGGCGCCGCAGCCGCTCGAGGGGCGCAGAGGGGGTGAGCTGGTGTCTGGGGCCTGCGTGTCCCTGCGCGGTGAGGTGCCCCCGCGCGAAGCCACGGTGGAGCGGTCCGTGCGCTCGGAATCCTGGCGGCGCCGGCCCCGAGCGGCTGGCGCGTGGCGTTCCCTGGGGGGCGGGGGTGCCAGGCCGCCTGGCCCCGCAGGCCTGTTCGTCTGGTACAGTGAGCGTCTTGAACAAGGGACACTTGCTTTTCAAAAGGGGCTCGGTCGTTCCTCAGGCTTGCATGCGTTAAGTATCGTTCCTCATGCGTTACTTCTTATGTGTCGTTCCTTACGCGGTACTCCTTGGAAAAAAGGGCTTCGTTCTTTACTTTTCGTTCCTTAGG